TTTTTTGTTTTGGCCTTAATTTGGGGCATACTGGCAATCTATTCATACATTGCCATGGTTGAAAGCTGTCCTGATCAGGAGCATGATGATTACCTGAAAGATGTACTGCGGATTCTTGATCCACATCTTCTTTGCTTGCTGTTGACCGAAAGCTGTATGATGGGAGCATACTTGACCTTCAATGCCAATGTCAGCTACTTTGCCCAGGTTATGTTCCACCAATCTACAATGACAACTTCTGTGATTATGTTAACATTTGGAGCATTGAATGGTCTTGGTTTGATCATTTCAAAGGCCCTAGAGCTGGGTAGCATTCTTCGTGTCGCCAAGATAGCAGTGTCGCTTTATGCGTTTACTGGCATCATTTCTTTTGCGCTTGGAAGTTTCTTTTCTGATTTCATTTGGGCATATTTGGTGGGATCCTTTCTTCAAGCGAGCACCATCACTATGGCACTGGTTTCTGTAAACGTACTCTTTTTTGAGCCACTCAGAGATTGTGCTGGCATCGCAGCCTCCTTTGAAATTTGCGCGAAGAGCGTCATTCCATGTTTCTTTTCAGTGATGTCTACGCAGGCGCTAATCCAGTTTCAGGCCAAGGGACTAATCCAGTTTCAAGCCGCTGCCTGCATGGCCTCTGGACTTGTGTTTTCCTGCTATGTTCTATGGCCGCCTGATTGGGCAACAGATCCGTCTGAGAAGCAGCCACATGACTCACCAAAGAGTGGGTATTGACATAAAGGATAAAAGGCTAAGTGGATGAACACATACAGCGATGTGGCACAGCAGCTCTTTTGGCATTTCTTGTGTCAAGCACGTAATATGGAGAAGTAGAAGCTTGAAATTCATTCCCCAATGGTCACACGCTCTGCGCTTGAATGCCTTGGCCCAGGCTGGGCAGGAAAAGGCAGTCAGGAGCAGGCGTAGATTTTCTCTTTTTTTCAGTGCTTGAATTTTGTGACTCGCTTTACTCGCCAATCGAACTTATTAAACAATCGAATCTCAGAGAAGTGTTTGACCCGCAGTAATGGCTGTTGTTCTTGACAAAGTAACAGCCCAAAACAGTTATAGATAGCAATCGCTCAAGAAGTGCCGCTTCCGCTGCAGGTATCCTTCCACTCGCTGAGCAGCTAGCGACAGCTAGGAGTTGGTCAAAAGGTGGCATGGAGCGGAGCTTCCAGACCCAAACAGGGAACATAAGGAGCATGGGGAGTTGAGTCTTATTTTTGCGCCCACGTTGAAGATCGTTGAAGCAGTTGGGCTGGCATCGAAGTCAGGCTTGTACAAGAAAAGAACTTGAGCTTTGGCTTTGCAGCTAGACAAGCTCATGGACACTGCCAGTGATCACGCTGTAACTCAGCCCATGACAGCAGCAGAAGCATGGAGAATCAGCGAATGGAAGCACCAAACCAGACACTCCTTAGCCAACAAACAAACACAACAGACCCTTTGGGACATTGGAGCCCCGAAACACTCAGCTGTGCTGCTGTTGCTTCGTTGGCTTCTTAGACCTACTTTGTCAAAGTGTCAAGACATGACTCCCATGAGCTTCCACATCAACCAAATGCATCCTGCGATGGTTCAATATTTCAAGTGGAAGGATTCTTTCTTTTGCTGCGACCAATGCTTCCTTTGTTTGTAGCCATGTTGGTGGAAAAGATGGGAATGAATTGATGGTTTCGCAACTGAGAAGACCTCATCTAAAACGGAAAAACATCTACGTACCTCAGGCCCTCCGCTCCCATGCGGGCCTTACGACGAACGCAGGCAGGAGCTACCCCCGGGGGGACGTGGCACGTGGCACGTGGCGCGGCGGCGGCGACCCGCAGACGACCCGCAGACAGGGCCGTGCCGGTGCTGCCTGCTTCTCCACTGCTGCAAAAACCTTGCAGGAGAAGTTCCTTGGTGTGAGATGGAAGATGGTGTGTTGACACAGTCATTAATTAGGGAAGATCTGATGTTGAAGTTTGGAGCAAGTGCTGACAGCACACGCTTCAAGCTTTGAAGTTGTTTCAAAAGTGGTCATCGTTCAGGAGATGTGGGCTGCAGGTGCTACAGTCACAGATGTGGTCTGCTGCTTGGGGGTGCCCATATGCACGCAGCACACCTTTTTTCTTCAGCTAATCCTTAGAGTCTTTAGGGTGCCAACCAGTAGGTCAATAGATTCATGGCCCCCAGAGCTTTGCGCCCTGGAATGAGCCATGATAATTTTCTTGAGTGTACCGTCTTTTTGTGCTGTGTTTCTGGCACCAGAAGATGGACATGACCTTAGCTGCCAGCTAGGCAGCCGAGTCCTGTGAGCGTGCGGCCAAAGCGGATCGCAATGAGCCTGGGGCGCAATTGGTGCTTTTCGGGCCATGGGATGACAACAACGTCAAGGGTGGAATGATTTGATCGTATTCCCCGGATAGAATAATCTAAGTCATACGGATATAGATGCTGTTACAATATGAATAATATAATATCATAGTTTTTGCAATGATATTGCAAAGATGGTCTTCACTGTTATTCAGTTGCTTTTGGTGACGTTTTTGGATATGGTTCCACTGAGATCTTAAACAACACCTGTTTCATGTTGCCTCTCTCATCCAGGAATGGATCTATTTGGTGCCCAAGGAGCAGGTGCCCACTGCCTCGGATCGTCAGTCAGTTTTCGAGTGCCGAGTGCCGAGTTGTTTGTTTGTTTTTCGGTGTTTCTTTGGCACTTATTTCACAATTGGTTTCTAGAGTTTTGCCTTTTTCATCAGTTTTCATCTACAAAACCAGCTCAGCCAAGCGTGGAAGTTGAGTTCGAAAAGCACATGCCGTGGAAGTTGAGCACGCGCTTCCAAACCATATCTCCTTAAGCTGCGCCTGTGCGCAGTCGCACAGCTCAGTCCTCCAGGCTGATTCCAGAGACCATCCCACCGTTCATGACGCATGTCGCCTGCCCATTGGTGTGCTTGCTTTTCCTTTGCGCATGTTTGCTTTGTCGCGGCTTGCAAAGCCACTCAGCATTCAAGTGAGCACGGATGTCCCACCAGCTAGGTAGTCTGCTGGTTTTGAAGAAGGGTTTGTAGCTGTTGGGATTCTTCAGAGGATTGGAGCGTCTGTTGAGCCAGTCATTTTTTGCCAATCATTCTCAAGGCAGTTTTCCCCAATTGAGAGCAAGGCTTGGGAATGATTACCACCTTCAAGATGATGTCCATGTGTGCTATGAGGGTTTCACCTGTCATGAGCTCGGCTCTCTCGCAGAGCTCCTTCAAGGCAGAAACCATGCCAAAATCATTTAGTAGATTCACCGAACACGTTCCCACAGATCGAATGCTTGGGTGCAAAAGGGATCACAGCAATACAGTGCAGCAAAATGAACTCAAAGAAAATAGATGGAACTATATAGTCCAGCACAAAGCCACAATGCCAGAACTCGAAATCATGCTGCCATCAGATATCATCTGCTATCTTCAACTGTAGCGGCTGTAGCTGTAGCAGGTCTTTAAAAAATAGCACAACGATGACCACGCCTGTCGACACGACAGAAGTTGTCAGTTGGCACAGGACTTGGTCCAAGCAGATGACAGCACTGAAGGTCAAGTGTGCACCCTTCACTTGCTCAAGCATTTCATTTTTCACAGCTTTCACAACAACAAGCACGATGTTCAGAAGGTTGAAATTAAGGATACCGTTAGAAGTTAGAATATACATTATATATAGATTACACGTATCAAATAATGTATTGTTATACAACTATATATATATATATACACATGTCCTTCAAGATCTTCTGAACTGTGTGAGATTCCCTCGCAATGTTATTGAATTTTTGTACCATTGTACCTGTCATTTCCAGGGCACGTTATCATCATTGGTCTTGTCTCCCTCTGCCAGCCCTTCATTTAAGGGCTGCCGCCCCTGCCGCCGACCCCTGCTAGGGGCTCCTGGCCTTACTGCTCTTGCAGGTTGGCTAGGAAAACGTTCGTGGATCCCAACTCCAGATGAGGAACATTGAGCTGTAGGCTGTAGTGAAGAGGTGTGCTGATGTGGTAAGATTCTGTCCAAATTTGCCTGTTATCAGCATATACGAAGTAGAAGCCGTCTCAAGACTCTCTAGTCAAGAGAATACGAAGGTATGGGTTTGTGCAAATGGCTGTTCATGCGACTCTCAAACACAAGCTCTTTTAACTCCAGCTCCCGCGGATGGGGCCCCGATTCTGGCTTCTAAGGGTTGCTGATCCGGGACACTAATGGAAAAGCCAGGTTGAAAGCAGCCTGCCTTCGCTCCTCATTGAGCTTGGCCAGTGAACACCCATTCTCCCATCCTTCACTACAGCCGTGGTGAGACAACATCAGCACGCAGCCGAGCCTCCTCTGGTCGCACTTTCCCTCCCAAACGCTCCCTCTGAATCCCT